AAAAAATTCAACTGACACACATCTAATTTAGATGGTTGAGACATGGCCAGTGTTATAAATAATATCAAAGGATGTTTTAGTCTCCAGGAATCGTTCGAAACCACATTATTTGCCAACCATACTCTTTTTTTTTTCTTTAACTTAAGAAGAGTAATCTGGAACTTATTTTAAAGTTTTGTTAAAACTCATGCTTGTCATACTCTGATTTCTTTCAGATTTTATCCATTGTCCAAAATCAAAATGTAAATCTATAATAATATTCATGACTAAGTGCATTTCTATTTAGAAGCAGAACAGAAAATTCTCTTTTAAAATTTCCTTCCTGCTAAATTTGGCTCCCTCTGATCCACGCTTTTTTCTCTCTTTTTTAAAATGTAGTCAATATTTCCCTGGCCTAAGTTCTTATTCTTCCAATCTGCCCAGAAAAGAATAACTTAAATAAGGAAAAATAGTAGCAATAATATGTACTTTTTATTTACATGGAAAACTTCTTTTACAGATTCTAAACTTTACGCTAGGGAGTGAGAACATTGCCTTCTAAGTATTTGTGGGCTGGATCTAGGTTCCTTGGTTAAAGGCATTTACTAGGGATGGAAATAGTTTGCATAACTCTAAGTAAGGGCTACTTGTTATTTTTCTTTATTACATAATGCTATCTCATTTCAGCCCTTCTATCAGTAAGTTTTGAACACTAGTGAATGATCAGCAATTAGAAACTATTATTCTTCATCTGTACACGTTGCTCTAAGCACTGCAGATCTCATCTGCTTCTTATATCTCCAACTCTAGAGCAGAGAATGTGGTATTTTTGCAAAGAACAAAAAGAAAGAGAAAATTTTAAAAAATGCTACTTTTATTTCAGCCAAGGTTAGCTGAATAACACTCTTTGATCTTGAGGTGTTCATGATGAAAACCACCTTAGGAAATCCCATGTCATTGCACCTCTCTCGCTCATGTTTGGAAACCTCTAGGGCACCAGCATCTTTGGCCACAAACCAGGTCTCCCTCCACTTCTCTGTGTCACCGATCGCTTTTCTTCTTATTCCAGGAGAGACTCCAGCCTAGAGAATTTCCCATAACATCTTGCATATTTTCACCCACCTCTATCCATGCACCAGCATTTTTGAGACACCTACTGTGTGCAGAGGGAACACCGAGCTTTGCTCTTTACTCTCCCAATTCCTTAACTGAGAGTATCTTTCCAGGCTCTGCCTGGTGACATAGCGGTTTAAAGCACAGCACTGCAAGTAAGCTGCAGCCACTTCAGTTCAGTTTGATCCCCAGCCCTGGAGGTGACCCACATGGTGTAGCAGACCTCTCCTGTCTCACCCTCTGCTCCCCTCAACAGTGTTTGTCAATCTGCCTGTTCTGCTCCCAACTCTATCTCTGGTGAATCTTCTCATGGCCCCTGCACCTCTGGCCTATACCCCAGTTCTGTATGAATAAATCTTAAAAAAAAAAAATAAAAAGAGAATCTTTCCAAAAATTGTTCTCTCCTTAATGCATTGCCTCATTCCTACCCGCCATCTCCATAAGCATGTCTGCTGATGAGCACAGCTGCAGCACTGACTGACACGGTGTCTCTCCTGCTTTTCAGTTATTATCCATAGAAGGAATACATTTGGCATCACAACCCTGTACATTTACACACACACACACACATATACAAACACACATAATACCTCACAAATATAGTTAATAGAAACAAAAGACTCATATTCTTACACTTATATGTGAGATTCATCTGTATGTCTTAATTCTATTTCATTAAAATATTCTCATCTATACCCCAAATGTTGATTTGTAAGGAATGCTGGACATTTGGGAAGCATAGAAGCAACTCATCATTGTAAGGCATGAACCTCTAGTTCAAAAAAGAGAAGGCTTAAAGAAGAGTGTTTACAACATAAGAAAAGTGAAAATTGCTCCAAATAAAGTACTTGCTAACAAATGTTAAATTTGACCAAATCCTTTGGACTCTCAGAATTACTCCATTCCTTAAAGCAAATATTTTTCTTTTTTTTCCCTCAGCAACAAGTCCAAACTAAACTTCAAACTTAAAAAAAAAAAAAAAAGGCCAACATTCCTGTCCTCCAGGACCTCACAGCTTCATGAAGGAAACAGAAAAGTGACCCAGTAATTATGACCCAGTGTTCCACATGGGTCACAGAGGGTGACCTAGGAGAAGTGATGTTTTGAAAGATCCCAGAAGAATCAGTGTGGGGGATGCTGGCCAAGAAGCCAGGTTGGGGCAGCGGGTCTAGTCATGAGGTTGGTGTCAGAAACCTGAGAAAGGAAGGCCCAAAGGATCAGGGCACCGCAGAGGTGGTGGGACTGGAGAGGCGGGAGGCCTGGGAACGGGAGCAGATGGAGTGAAGCAAGTCTCTTTCCCATGGTCTCTCTCCAGTGACTCCCAGGTTCCCGCAGGCATCACTGGGGTGCTGTTTGTGCCATCAGAAGGGTAACCCACGGGAAGGACAAAGTTTGGGGAACAGGCTCAATGCTGGGCATATGAGTCTCAAGCACACATGGTGATTCACTTTAGTCACTTGGATCTGGATTTGGGGGAGAAGTCTGACTAGGTACTAGATGAAGCTGAAAAGCAAAGATAGGAAGTAGGTGGAGCAGAGACTGGGACTAGGCCTGGGGAAGGTCCCAAATTCAGGGCAGTTACTGATTTGCTGAATGAAGATCAGTCATTCCTATGCTAGTGTGGGGGTCTAGGCAAACAGTATTTGTCCTCACTTACTTTCTGCCTGGCTTCCGTATCTGTAAATGCTGCCAAAGCTCTCAGAGAAGTAGAGTCTTCAATGTATTTATTTAAATGTGAACACTGAAAACTGCAGATAAAGCTATAATAGATTTCCAACTAATATAGACTGAGCAACCCCCATGGGCCAGATCACCTTCCAAGGGATAGTTGAATTCCCAGATTTAACACACTTATTCAACACAGCCCCTCTTCCAGAAGCTTAAGAGGGGCTGGTGCTGTATCCAGCAAAGCACCATAACAAGGCGGACAAAGGACAGGCTGACTTCGTACTTAATCATTAACAAAGGGTAAAGGACCAGTTGTGAAAGGTTTGCTGTGTAAGGATCCCAAATTCCTGATAGATTCCCTTTCTTTCCTTACCTTGGAGCGTTTATCTTTTGGAGTACCATGATCTGAGTTGAAGGGGCTGTTTCTTTACTAGAAAGCACTTCCAGTTTTAAATCACAACACTGTTTTGTTTTGCTGTTGTGAGTACACAGGTCAACCTCATAGGTCATAGCAATGCAGTAAGGCCTAGTAGAGGAATAGTTAACTTCTATTCTAGGGTTTTAGAGGCAGTAAATTTCACTGTTTCAGGTTGTGTTGAGCACCTTTTCACCCAAATTCAGATGTTTAGGTCCTAACTTCCAATACTGCAGAATGTGACTGCATTCACTTTCATCACATTGCTGATGGCCCCCTGTACACGTGAATTCAAGTGTCCCTTGGAAAGTGACCCAGTCCATGGGGGATGCTCAGTCTATATTAGTTGAAAATCTATCATAGCTTTATCTGCAGTTTTCAGTTCTCACATTTAAAGAGATAATTAAGTAATTAAGTTAAAAGGAGGTTATGTGGGCGAATCCTAAAGAGGACATTGGGATACAGAGGACATTGTAAAGAGGACATTGGGATACAGACAGGTACATAGGAACACCTGGTGAAAACACAAGGTGAAGATGGCCATCTGCAAGCTAAGGGAAGAGGCCTCAGGAGAAGTCTCAGCCAACATATATACTCACCTTCGATTTTTCTGGTGAGGACTGGTGTATACAAGTTTGCTGTATAGTCAAACTTGTGGTCAGTGGTGCTCTGGGCCATTTGCCAAGGGAACTGGAAGTGGAATGGTGCTTGCCTGGCCACTCACAACTGGAGAGTCTGTGGTATTTGTTATGGCAGTCTCAGCAAACATATATACTCACCTTTGATTTTTCTGGGGAGGGCTGGTGTATACAAGTTAGCTGTATAGTCAAGAGGAAAAATTATTTAGAGTAACATTCTGAGGAAGAGAAGCAGATGTCGGAGGAAATTCAGTGTGAACACTACTGGAAGACAAGTAGCACAAGTGGATTTAATTACCAAGCACTTCACAGACCTTCACCAGTTACTACTCTTCACAGCTACCTCAGCAACACCTGGAAACTTGTTAGAAACGCAAAATTCTGGGACCCTGGCAGACCGCGGACACTGGCAGAATTAGAAAGTGTGCGTGTGTGTTGGGGGTAGGGTAGGCAACAGCAATCTGTTTTAGCACATCTCAGAGGATTCTGACTAGCTAAAGCATAAAGTGTGAGACCCACTAACATAGCGAAAGTCACCATAAGCCGTTCGCAGGGTGAGGGGACTCTCCAGTTGTGAGTGGCCAGGCAAGCATTATTCCAGTTCCAGGTCCCTTGGCAACCCGCCCAGAGCACCACTGACCACAACGTTCGCAGACGGTGGCGGGGTTTATCCCTAGTTCCGCTGAATTCTCAGAGCGCCCGCAGGGGTCTTCAGGTAAGCGGCACCCAAGGCCTCCCAGCCGCGGCGCCTGCGAGCAGGGTGAGCTTGGCGAGCCCGGGAGCCCTGGGCACCCGCAGCCGCCCGGCGCGTGCGCGTGGGCGCGCCTCCGACTCGCCCGGACGGGAGCGCGCCGAGGGGGTGGGTCACGTCGCCCCCGCCGGGCTGGCGCTCTGTCCGAGCCACTCAGAGCGCCCGACGGCGGACACCCGGGAGCCCCACAATTAATACCCGGCGCTCGCCGGCCGCCGAGGGACTCGCGTCGGCGCTCCAGAGGCTCCGGGCCAGCCCTGACCAGCCTCGCAACTTTGCCCTGCTACGGCGAGTGGGGCCCAGAAACTTTCCCGGGCCCCCTGGCGAGGACCAGCTAGTGCCGGGTCGGTGCCACCGCACCCAGGTCCCGCGCGAGTGTGCGCCCCCCGGCACAGAACCACTGCGTAGCGGCCTCCACCTTTGTTGCCGCCGGGAACTTTGCGTCGGCCGCCGGCCGGGCAGGTGGGCCAAGGCTGCGGGCGTCACGCGATCTCGGTAGAAGTGCGCGGAGTAGGTGAGTGGGAGCGGGAAGTTGGGGCGCTCCTGAGGGCGCTTTCCGGGACTGGACGCCCGCCTTCGCCGGTAGGCTGCCGCTCCTCCGATCCACCTGATTCCCTTTTAAGTTTTGCTCGGGATCCGGGGGTGGGGTGCGGGCGGGCGGGTAGGCTAACCTGCTCAAAGTGTTTTTACGCCTAAGAACGAGTCATTCGGACAGCCACCCCGACCGGCCGAGCGAGCAATACGTCAGTCCCGTTCTCTACCCCAAGCCGGACTCTGGGCTCGATCCCCAGAGCGCGATCGCCCCACGCTTCTTCCTAGCCGAAGGACCCAGGGGTGGGAAAGACCTCAGCCCTCCCACCCCGTCCCTTTAATTGTGGCAGACGGGGCTACTGAAACACAGAGCACAAACTTCTTTTTCACACAGCAAAACTGCCTCTACAGTGTTTTAGAACGGGACTCGCAGACGCGACTAGTCATTTCCTGAGGACACCTTCCCAGACCGGGTTGGACAGGCTGACCCCCGAGTGGAGCGACCCTGGGCACGGTGTTCCGGGGCGTGGGGACAGTTCTGGGCTTTCCCCGAGGTCTGGCCCCTGGATAGTCTTGGAGCGCCGGCCCGTACTCGAGAAGAGGAGGACCGCGGCGAGCGGCGCAGGGCTCCCTACGCTGGGTAGACTCCACCTCTCCGACCCCTGTCCAGCTCCCAGCTCTGTCCCGAGGGTGCTCTCGCCCGGTGGCCCGGCAGAGGGCGCCAGCTCCCGATCGCTGCGCGGGCTGGGAGGGGAGGGGACTTCTGTGAGCCTCCAGGTAAGGATCTTAGTGAATCAACCGGTTGAAAGGGGACCCGATCCTCGCTCGGCGAATGCAGGCTGGGAGGGGCCCTGGTGCTGTCGAGAAGTCCGGGTTGCCGAGCCGCTGTCTGGCGGGAAGGAGCGACTCTGCTACTCAGAGGTGTAGAGAAAGCCCAGAAGGTGAGGCAGGTCCCTTCGCGCGGTGGCCAGGGGACAGGAACCGGCAACGCAGGGCTAAGGCCGGCAGCTCCTGGAACACGCCGGCCGCCGCGCGCCCTTCCCCGAGGGCCAGAGATCCTGGGGGGTGCAGCGGGGGCGGTGGCGGGAACCAAAGGGTTTTGGGGCTGGCCGAGAGCAGCCAATCACCTGGCCGCTGGGAGAGGGTGCTTCTGCTGGCCACCGAGGTCCCGAAGCAGTAACAAAGGCGAGGCGCTGCCACTGCTCCCACCCACTTCCGTCCGGGACGCGCAGCGGCGCGCGTCGCCGGGACCTGCAAGCGGGGTCAGGACTTCCCTCCAAGGAGTTTCTGGAAGTTAGTAAGGCAGCCCGTTCCGCCGGGAGGGTGGGCGGCCAAGGGGGCGGCCCAGGGAGGGGCAAGCGTGTGCTCAGAGGAGCGACGCTGCGCGCTGCCTTGCCCGACTTGACTGAAGGTGAGTGGCTCTAGCGGCAGTGGCTCTTTGCGCCCCTCTGCCGGATCTCAGGGTCCGGGCACCGCCGGGCCCGCTGGGGTTTGAACTCCCCGCGCGTCTGCCTAGCCTGCCGGCCCCTCGGTCCACGCCCTCCTCACTGTCTGGGCGCCAGCCGGCTCCGGAAGGGAGTGGTTTAGTCCCGTGGTGACAGTAGGCCGCCCCTAGCACTTTTGAGCTGAGCTAGGGGAAGGCGGTAATTGCATTTCTGTGTGTTTGCAGCTGCTCCTGTCCAGGCCGCAATCTGGGTCAGGTGCGGGGTTAAAGCACTTCCGGCGTGGCTTTTACAGTTCTTGTGAAGTCTCACAGTTTATTGCAGTTTGAAGTTCCAGAGAAAGACGCAAGAACAACAGAATAAGGAAGAGAGCTCCCTGTTTTCCCTTGGTTGCTGGCAATTTCATGTAAACCCGACATGTCACACATATGTCATGAAGTGGCAGGGGCTGCATCACTGTATGCCAGACCTTTCCCTGGAGCTGTGCATCAGGCTGAGGAGGTGCTGCTGAAAAGAAACTGGGCTTGCTGTTCCGGTGTGCAACCTTATCCCCTGTAATCAGTGGATGGAATTATCTGTTTTCTTATCTGCCTCCGCCCTCCTTCTCTAGTATGTAAATGACAGGAATGGTTTGTTGTGAAGTGCCTAGTCAGAGAATCTTACACACTTTGGAAGGATCTTTGTCATGCTCTTCTAAATCTCACAGCCCCCTTCACAGTGGTTATTTCTGTTCTACAGTTAAGGAAACTAGATTTAAAGAGGCTGACAGGACAGTCAGGCCTGTTTGTTCCTCCCACTTTCTTTGGGAAAACCCAGTACTGCTGATTTTTCTCTTGAATCCCCTGTGTTTGCTCTTAACCAGGTTGGGAGTTGATTATGTTAGGGTTAGACTGGCTTTCCACATATTGCTGTGTATTTTGTTAGGCCATCATCTCAATTAAACCAATTTTTAATTTTAAGTTTAAGGTATGTAAGACAACTAATCCATCTTCAAAAAGCCCTTAGAACTATAAAGAAACTTTATAAGTTTCTTTAAAGTTTCTTTTCTGACAACTTTAAAGAAAGTCAGAAGTAGCTGTCCTTTGCTTCATGTGGTCTCTTGCTAAGCAGCTGGGCCTGGGTCAGGACCTCTACATGAGTCACTTTGCTTTCCTGTTGCAGGAGTTGCAGTTCACTGTGTTCAAGTTAGGTGGCTGCTACTGTGCTGGATATGTGTTTAAAATTAAGTGATGTTTGCCTTGGAAATAGGGCCAAACTTAATAGATGATGAATTAAATCCCTGAAGTTTCTCTTAGGGATTTAAGAATGTAATTTTATCCATGGTTTACATATCATTGGGTTCAAATATGTAAAATGGCACTTTATCATTATTCTGAATGTACTTAAAATGTTTTGCCTTAAAGACTAATGATACTGGACACTGGAGTGATAGTCTGTGACTCAGTGTCCTAGTGTGGTGCCAGTGTTAGAAAGAGCAAGCATGATAATGCAGGCCAAGCCTCTGAAGACAGAATGGCAGTCTTCACCATTCATGGCTTTTGAATACCGGACAAATTGCTCAGCCTTTCTAAGCATCACAGTTCTCTTCTAATAATAATAGTATGTAATGATTTCAAGCCATAAGGATTAAATTTGATAATCCATAAAAGGCACTTAATGGCAGTGAGCAAGCACATAGTAATTGCTCAACAGATGTTCACTAATTCCAGTGATTTAAGAACAGGTTCAGTCTTCCCTTCTCTCATCCAGAGGTAAAATAGATGATAATTGCCTTAAATTTTCAATTCTTCTTAAACCATAGTGCCTGTCATATAGTAAGTGACTTCCTTTTTCAGTCAGTGAGTTGGGTGGGTGGGGCATTGGGAGTGATGGAAAACTTTGTCTAGTTGCCCAAGAAATAAGGGACTTCTGGAGACTATAAGGTTTTCCTTCTAGTTTTACCACTCTGTAATTTTTGTGTCCAGCCATTTCTTCTAGCCATTTCCCTTAACTTTTAATAGGAACCCAGTAGCCAAGATGACAGGACCTTAAAAAAAAAAAAAACCCACAAAAAACTCAAAACCAAATTGGGGAAAAGGAAGCAAATATTTCCTTTGCTTATTCACTAACCCTTTATAACACTAGAGAAAAAAAAAACATTTGCTTCTGTTGTGCTGGCCCAATCTTGGTAAGAGGGACCATTTCCTTGGAAAATGGAATATTTTCTAGAGCTCTGTTGTGCTGGCCCAATCTTGGTAAGAGGGACCATTTCCTTGGAAAATGGAATATTTTCTAGAGCCTTTTTAAGGTTGTGTCACCACATTGACAGAGGAGGAAGAATAGTCTAAGATAACATTTCAAAAATATTTGCTTATATGTGGAAATATTATGATCTGAAAATTGCTAGGCTAACTTTATCACAGGGCAACAAAAAGGTATAGGTTATTTTAGCTGAACATTCAGTGTCTCAGTGTCTCTATTTCGTGTTAATTAAAACTTCAGTTTAGCAAATACACTTGGAGAAATAGTTTATTAAAATTAAAAAACCAAATTGTGCCAAGTTGTTTTTGAAAAACCTAACATTGCTATTTTATAGTGCTTGATTTTGCTTTTGCATTTATATTTTAAAATAGCCAATCATGGACTAAAGCACTTGGAATCTTATGTTGTCCTAAAGCAGTATTGCTCATGGAAGTTATTACCAAGAAGTGCATGGGCTGAAATACAGGGAGAGGGTGCTGTGTGAAACCTTACATAGGACTTACATTTGAAAATGAAGCCCAGCTTTCTCCTGCAGTTGAAAGCCAACTGTATTTCTAACCAAGTGACAGCATGCAAAGGGTTAGTAGCAGGGTCCTTGCTTTGTACAGCCGCTGGGTTTGTAGCCACTTGTTGCTCTCAGACTGGGAAGAGCGAAGCAGCTGCAGGGCACGCGCCAGACCTGTGCTGGGCTGTACTCTTCCATTGTAGGGAAGATGAGCGGGCAGCGATATTTTGGATCACATAGCAGCTTGCTCAAAAGCATCTTGCATTCCCCAGCTGTTCACAACTTCTTCGCATATGGGAGACAACTTGCCAGCTGCTGTGGGCAACTGTACTTACATTTGCTGTTTTTGTGCAGTAACCAAGGAAGGTAAAAATCCAGACGCCTTTGTTAAACTGTAACCATTGTAAACAGTCTTATTGGTCTCTGTTATGTCAGTGCAATTCCAGATATAGTCTGGCAGGAGAGAAGGTTTAAAGGGAAAAATCAGAACTAACATTTTTTCCAAATAAAATTTTTAGGGATAAGCAGGTTGTATAGTTATCTCATCCTTGAAACCTAGACTGTTTTTATACTTCATTGGCTAACAAAGGAATGGGTCTATTATTAACAGTAAGATCTTTCCATTGCCATTGCTGGCGATTAATCAGGTTTTATTAAATATATTTTTCTATTGCATAAAATTATAGAAAGCACACAGTGCTTTTATGTTTTCTGTAGATTAGGTTATTTTGCATTTGTTTAGAACTGGAAGGTACTTGGCCACACCCCTTATGTGATCTGTGAGAAAACTTGGAG